CCCAGAGGCCCAGAGGCCCAGCCGCCAACAGTCTGCGCAGCGGGAGTTCAGAGAAGCCTGGCTGGGGGCTGTGACTCAGGTCTCCCACAGGGCGGCCATCAGGAACTCGCTGCCAGCCTGAAGGCCCCGGGCTGAGGACCTGTTGGGACAGTTTGCCCACCGGCTATGGCGGGAAGCCTGACACTTGTGTCTGCACAGCACGGCTGACCAGGACTGGTTTGCACAACCAGCAAGTTAAGAAGGGCAAGAACCACATGCACAGACTCAGAGGCTCCAGGCCATCCCCTGACCCTGCTTTCCTCAGTGTGGGCCGCAGCCTCAGGACTGCCCTTCCTCATGGGGCCACAGAACTGCCGGCAGCCCCGGAGCTCAGCCAACAAGACCATCCCCTCAGCTGCACCTGCCAGCCCCGCTCGAGTCCCAGCCACACAGCAAGGGACAGAGCAACAAGGGCTGCACCCGCCCCAGGCGACACAAGACTGGCGCCTTCTGGAAAACCTGTGCCCGCGTGTGACTCCCAGTGCACAGTGGGGGCCACGCAGCACCAGGACCAACCAGAGCAGCCCGACGGACTCCATCAGGGATGGCACAGCAGGGGGCTCTGCCACCACAGCCGCTTGCACACATCCTCTCCCCACTCACGGCAACCTGGCTGCACGGACCCCCGGACATCACCAGCCACAGCACCTGACCCACCTCACCTCCCCGACACAGGAGCAAAAGTAGATGGCTCACACCTGAATGACATCACCAACGATGACACTCCGTGATGCACCCAAGGACAAAATGCCCCGCAACGTGGAGAAGTCTTTCCACCGCCTCGGCACTAACAGAGAGACCCCCACAACCAAGGCCGGCAAAGCACCTTCTCAACTTACGCAGCCTTCATACTCCAAGTGCAACCAGCCAGGTCAGCTCCTCCACTGAGTTTATGAGGAAGCTATTTTTGACACAAGAAATCATTACTTTTAGCACAGTTCTGGAGTGTGGTTCTTGAAGTTTAAAAATACAATCTCGTCCTATCACACTGTCAAATGGAATTCGTGATTTCAGAACAAGATGAATCTTAAATAAGTTGTGCTCTTTAAGTTTAATGCAAATGGTCCATATTGTTGGAACTATGTGAAGAACAGAGCTCCAGCGGGGAATTTTTGCCTCCTTGGCTTCTGTGGATTTTGTATTTCATTCCACCTACACCTACACCCTAGAGATAAAATTAAAGTCTGACGCTGGATTCTGTCAGGACACAGCCTTTCACCCAACGTGCTCCCAGTTTCTTTCAGTTTAAAATGACAATGAAATCATTTTGTGGATGCCCCTGTAATCAACACCCAAAACCCCAGGACAGGGACCACCTGTACAACAATATTTTAAGTAGTTCCCAAGAAGGCTGAGGGGGAGGGAGAACGAAGCTCTGAGAAGTAAGGCAAGACGGCTGACGCAGCCAAAAGGCTGCTGAGTCTCCGTCCTCCACAAAGCAGCAGCCATCCGAACAGAGTCCGCCAGGAAGCGGAGGCCGGCCAGGCCGGGGAGAGGAGGGACGAAGCGTCCAAGAGGCACGAGGTGCCAGGCTGCAGGTCTCATGCCAATCCTATTTCACAAAGGGGAAAACGAGGCTCCAAGATGGCGTAACAGAGGTTCCAGAGGACAGCAAAGAACTGAACCCAGTGAGTCACTGCTGCTCCCCTCCCTACCCCCACCACACACACACACACACACACGTCAAGCAGCGCAGCACCCAAGGAGAGGGCTGGGCTCAGCCATGCCCCGCACAGGCGCAGCAGCCCACCTGCCCACA